CGAATTGACAGTCTAGAAAACTAAAAATAAATTAATAAAATAAAAATTCAAAAGGGGTTTATGGGTGAAGATTCATAAAATATTAGATAAGCCTTGAAAAAGGGAAAGATCGTGGATGTGCCTTGAAAAAGGGAAAGATCGTGGATGTGAAGTATTGAGTAGGGACCGATATCTTCCCAAAACTAGTTCTGTCCCAGCCAATTCCAAGTCTAAATCAGTGATTTCCCATCCAAATCATCAGTTTTTAAAGTAGTAGTACTCCTTACCAATCCTTGCAACTCTTTGAATCCTCTCCTACTCATTGTCAAGGAGCCCGACTTAGGTGCTTTAGCCTCAGCACAAGCTATTACGTAATAAGAAGGCAGAGTTACCTTATAATGTAACGGTTGTAATTAACTTTGACGTGTGGTTTCACGTTGTGCAGGCATGCAGGATAGGAAGGTTTTGTCTCGAATTTAAGAATTTTATACAATGTGACTAAGATAGACAATAATCCTTTCATAATGCCCAAAGATAATAACAATTGAAATTTTATTTGTAAAAAGTCGGTCATGAAATGTATATTTAATGATATATTACCCCTATTAAATACTACTAAATCTTCCCATCTTCCCCATCCTTTCCCCTTTAATATCATCTATCTCAACATACCATAAAACATGTGAATATTAAATACTATAATAGAACCTAGACAAATTCCACCCAACTACAACCACTAAACCAATTTTACCGAGAACAAATTCTAAACAAAAACTAACACTTTGTTAGCAAGAAACAAACAACTTATTTTTTTGGGTTAGTCAAGAAACAAACAACTCAACTGAACTCTACTGCGAAACACCAGCCTTTAAACCAAAACCCAAAAAACCTTGAACCTTAGAATCCACAAATCTCGTCTAACACAATATCAATCCGACAACCCTATTCTCACTTATCAACACTTGTCACTCTACAACAGTCAAATGCATAAACTCGTGTAGCCCCCAACCACCCATTCTCCCAATCTTACTGATCACCAAAATGTCACATACCATCAACCCTGTAGACCAAACCTCCACTTTACCAAATGAGACCACAAACCCCCAACTTCTTTCAGCAATCCTGTCTTTATTACACACACCCACCAAACATTCTAAATGATGAAACCACATCTCAATCCCCATAATCTGTTTTCATGCAAACTCGAGAACTTCTACCTTTATCCCGACCGGCTGCCAACGATCAAGAATGAGAAGAAGGGCTAATTTAACAGCAGCACCACCGATCTTTGCAGTGGATACCCCCAAAAGTCCCGAAATAGATCTTGCTGAAATAGAGAGAATTGCCGATTGTAGGACATTTTATAAGAAATATGGTTAAGTTATGGTGGTCATGTTTGCGATCTCT